ATTAAGTTATACAAAAAAATAAAATAAAATGATTGTCTCAATAGCATTTCCCTTTATATAATGTCATAAGAGTAAAAGATTTTAAGTTAATGCGGACATAATTTTATCTCAACAAATTTTCTCATATTAACATATCAAAATAAGTATATGCATATCATTTTTGGACTTGATTGAGGAAAAATAGTAAATTATAATTAATAAATAATATTTGTTTATTTTATTTCTTAAAAATTATAAATCTTTTTTCTTAAAATTATGTCATTTTAATAAATATATTTTAGCTTCTTATAAATATAAGAGGCACGTTTGGTTTGGCTAATGTTATCAGCTTACGATTTTTTTTTTCTTTAGAGAGTTGGTGAAAGTATTAAGAAATCTCAACCTATAAGTTACTTTCATATTAATATAAAATATTCTATTAGTTATTAATTGTTTGTAATAGTCAAACAAATCAAAACTTATGTAGTTCTGAAATGTGACTGAATTTTTTTTTATATATTAAAGATGTGAGATGATATTAAATTTTAGAGGTACATCTGACAAATATTTTACTCTTACAATGATAAAGGAATAGTGCAAAAATTATGGAAAAATTACTTCAAAACTACATTATTTTAATACATTCTCCTTGAAAAAAAAAAAACTAAAATATCTTATTTTCTAATCATAAATGACATTAGTTTTGATATTGTTTTATAATATTTTATTGGAATAATGTAATTTTAAATTTTTTTTTAAAAAAATTTGTAAAGGCAAGACAAGTAAGTACTAATCTTTATAATATTACAATGTGAATAGGTATAATTATTACTATATTCTATTAATTTCAATAATCTAATGGTTGGAGTAAAAGGAATTTAATTTTTTTAATTAAAATTTAAAATTTAAATTTAAAATTTAAATTTTATAAATGAATATACAAATATTAATAGAGAATCTCTTTATAGGTTTGATACGTTGCAATTTCAAATTATTCGAATCTAATTTGCAAACACCAGAAGTTAAAAAAAGAAAAAAGAAAAAAGGCTATATTCTATTAGCTAGGATTGCAAGACTTTATTATATTACTCATAAACTTGTGGGTTAATAATATTTCCATATTAGATGATTCGGTTTTTTAATGCCAATGAGCACTGAAACTTTCCATTATAAAACCAGCGTAACAAAACCTTACATTTGCCTTGATAACACCTAAATTTTAAAACGCTTTCTTAGTCTTCTTCGCCATTTCTGGATTTCTCCTTACGATAAAAAAATTTTACAACTTTTATTTAGTCTTCTTCGCCATCTTTAGATTTCTCCTTGTTCGTTTTTTATCACCATCTCCAAACCAAGAAAGGTTGATCTCAAATTATTCGGGAAAAAAAAAGACTGCAAGATGAGAGAGAAACCGGGCAAGAAAGAAAGCAAATTGAGCAAATGCCTGAAATTACCCATTAGGATTCTGACCAGGGCCAGGGATTTCTACATAAAGAGCATCACCGAATACTCCGACCGGATTGGTCACGGCACCGCCATGGGCTGCCCAACCGGCCATCTCAATACTCTGCCTCGGAGCTTCAGCGTCAGCTCAACAAAATCAACCACCGGTGATGAAGACTTGAGGGAGCTAATCAGGGCAGCCTCCATCAGGAGTTTAGGAAACAAGATTCAGGCAGACCTTCTCCAGCAACAGCAGGGGGGACAATCCACCAAAACTGGTCCTTATATTGTTCTCAGGAATCAGAGCATCGGGATTGGGAGAATTGATGAAGACAAGCCCTGTGAGTTTGGAGAAGATATTAATGTTCAGAGCACTATCTTCCCAAGAAGCTTGAGCTATGCTGCTGTTGGTAAGAAGAAAGGTACAGTTTTATGAACAGAAGCTACACAGGCCTCTGATTTTACCTCTTAGACTCTGCTTTGTCAATTCTTATAGTATGTCCTTTCGGTTGTTTCTTGGTTGTACTATAGAATGTTTGATACTACGTACTTCAATTATCCAATGTTTTTCTCACATTGAACTGTGGATATGTATTTGTCTTCTTCTGTTTGGATTCTGGTATTTGAATTTTGATTGTAAACAAAGAAACGTTACTTGGCATCCATAAGTTGTGTTTGGTTACATGGAAAATAAAGCTTCACCAGAATCATGTGTTATTGGAGAGGTTCTTGTTTCCAAATTCTATCAGAAGCTTCACTCCCAAGGGTCAATACCAATAATCTTTTCTCCAATATAAGTC